AAAAAAAAAAAAAAAAACAAAGAAAAATGAAAGTAATAAAAACAAAACTCATCACTTTTTAATGTTTCATCACATTTGGTTATTTTGGATGGTAAAATTACTTATATCTATTTTATTCATAGGGAAAAATACTCTAATAATGTTACTGTGCATCTCTTCTGAACTCTGGATTCCGGGACATTATTTGGTAGCTTGAAGCAGTCATGGTAAGATATTTACACCACATAAATCAGCAAATACTATAACTACAGACTTAACAGATAACTGGCATATGAGTTTTTATATGCATAGGGATCACAAGAATGAAAAGCAAATGCCTAATAGCTCCATCTGATTTGGAAGCTTGATCTGCCCTTCTTCATCTGGGAGTGGGAAGTGGGGAAATACAGGAATTTTTTGAGTAAGAATAATTGTTTTTAGGGGAAATTAATGGGTCCAGAGGATAAATAGTAGACTGACTGGACAAGCTTTGCTTGAATTCTGCGTGTAGTGACATTCCAGTGTCCTTCCTTGTAAGTTACTCTTAACAATTTGATAAATTATAGGAAGGGGGTTCATACAATTTCTTTATTTCTGGAAGAAATTGATTTAGTCATATAAAGAAACTTGAAATACCATATACCTTTGTTTTGAGACTGCCTTTTTTTTTTTTAAGTTTACAGTATTCAGTATGTCAAAGGACCAGGTAACTGATGGACAGTTAGCTGTCTAGCTAAATGCATGAGAGGAAATGATCTAGGAATTTGGGCCATATTTCAAAGTTATAATCCTTCCCCCCCCCCTTTTTTTTTTTTGCCAGTCATGGAGCTTGAACTCTGGGCCCTCCCTCAGCTATTCAGCTCAAGGCTAGCACTCTACCACTTGAACCACAGCACCACTGCCGGTTTTTTCTGCTTATGTAGTGCTGAGGAATTGAACCCAGGGCCTCATGCATGCAAGGCAAGCAGTCTACCACTACTTGCCTTTAAATCCCTACTACTTCTGTTTGGGGAATGTTCCGTGATGCTTGCTTTAGTTACCATTCTGTATTCTAGGGTCTTCATGTATTTTCTTTCTTTTTTTTTTGCCAGTTGTGAGGGCTGAACTCTGGGCCTGGGTGCTGTCCCTCAGCTCTTCAGCTCAAGGCTAGCGCCCTACCACTTGAGCCACAGCGCCACTTCCGGCTTTTTCTACTTATGTGGTGCTGGGGAATTGAACCCAGGGCCTCATGCATGCCAGGCAAGCATTCTACCACTGAGCCAACCTCCCAGCCTCTCATTCATGTATTTTCTAGCTTCCAACAATTTCTGTCCAGTTTTCTTTGTCTTATTTGCTGGCACTTAAGATAATGTCTTTTAAAATAAAGTCTGTGTGAATGATAAACACAGACCTGTATGTTTACCATCTTGAAGTTCCAATACTGGGAATTGAACTCAGGGTCTGGGTGCTGTCCCTTAGCTTTTTCACTGAAGGCTGACACTCTACCACTTAAGCCACAGCTGTACTTCTGGCTTTTTTTTGAAGATTAATTGGAGATAAGAGTTTGTCCTGCCTGGGTTGGCTTTAAGCAGCATCAAATATCAGCCTCCTAAGTAGCTAGAATTATAGATGTGAGTCAACTGGTATTCAGAAGTCTAGAATAGACTTTCTAAATAGAAACAGATAAATAATGTCAACAACTTAAGAAGGTTCAAATAGGCTTGGCCAATCTCCAATTGATTTGTAAGTCAGGAAAAGATTTTACTCAGGGAAGGTAGTGTTTCATTTTCATAAAAAAAGAGTAACCATCTATAGATTTGAACCAGATGACCTGTGAGTTTGAGAATATGAGTTTTGCCCCTTTTTTGTAGTTTGTTTTGTTTTAATGTGTGGAATAACAAAGTGGCTTCAGTTTATGGACTTTGATCTTGAGGAGAAGTAGAATAATGATACGTTATTGTCCCAGATTCTTTAACAATTTAATTATCTATCAGTAGCTGGGTTTGATGGCATGGTCATTTGTTATATCTTGATCTCTAGTATGAGTTTTCTAGTTTGCTTGGGATTTGATGTAATTGGATTGGTGATCTATATTCTTTTTTTTTATTTTAATTTTTATTTTTTGTGAACATACTGTACAGAGGGGTTACAATTACATGGGCAAGATAATGTGTACATTTCTTATGGTGATCTATATTCTTAATTTCATAGGCTGCCTCATAGTCCACTAAATTATGTTTTCCTGTTTACCAATTGTTACCTATAAGGCCAGTGATGAAAGATTACAAGATGTCAATTTAAGCAGAAAAAAATTATCTGTAATCCTCCAGGAAAGGGGATTAGGATGGATTCATGGATTCCTCTTTTGAGAAATGCAGTTTTTCATCCTCCCTTCCCCCCCCCCCCCAAGTCTGAACTCATGGCCTTATATATGCTAAGACTATACATTCCATTATTCAGATTTCTAAACTACACCCCTACCTTTTATGTGTTGCCCTCTCCCCCACTCCACAGTCCTGGGGCTTGAACTTCAGGCTGGGCTCTGTCCTCAAGCCTCTCTACCTAGGCTTTGTGCTCTACCACTTGAGCCACAGTGCCACTTCTGACTTTTTCTGAGTAGTTTTTTGGATATAAGAGTCTCATGGACTTTTCTACCCAGGGTGGCTTAAATCGTGATCCTCAGATCTCAGTCTCCTGAGTAGCTGGGATTACAGGCACAAGCCACCGGTGCCAGACTATGTATATTTTTATAAAAGGATGTGTATATTTAAGACAATGACAGTTGTGACGAAAGGAAATGAATAGCTGACATTGGATGTGTGATAGGTGTTTTGGTTAAGCTTATGGTTCAAAGTTGACATGATTGTAATATTTCTAAAGACAGTGTACAGGAATAGCCAACTGCTAAATTTTATTAAATCATTTATACAAAATAGGCTTCTTTTTTACTCTTTATGTCTTCATGTTTTATTTTCAAGAGATTTGTTTGTTTTTCCCAGTTCATGTGGTGAGACCTAGTCTTGACTCTACAGAGGCAAATTGTTTTGTTTTTAGGCCTGTATAATTTCTAGTACTTAATTTAGGAAGAAGTAATCCAAGAAGAGATGTCATGAGGGTTGGGCCAAGTCTTCAATATAATTATTTGTTTAGGACTAATATCCCATGGTGTCTGCAACAGGATTTTTTTTTCTAAAATTTATTCATTTGGAAAATATGCCAAGAGCACATTGTTAAATCATTTTGGTTATTTAACAAATCATCTTAAGACATGACTGTGTCAGATTCATCTAAATCCCGAGATCACTGCACTTTTCATAATCCTCCCTCTTAAACCTGTACTTGGTTTAGTGGGCATTTGAATGGCAAGTCTATAAAGGAGGGTCCTTGTGGTCTGGGGAGAATTATAGTAGGTTTTTTTGGTGGTTTGTTTTTTCCCCGTCCTGGGACTTGAACTCAGGGCCTGGGTGCTGTCCCTGAGCTTTAGTGTTCAAGGCTAGCATTCTATTATTTCCAGCTCCTCTTCCAGCTCTTTTTGGTGCTTAATTGGAGATAACAGCCTCAAAGACTTTCAGCCCATGCTGACTTCAAACCATGATTCTCAGATCTCAGCCTCTTGAGTAGCTAGGATTACAGATGTGAGCCATTAGTGCTGGCATATGTTGTAAAAATGCCGACTTAGGCACTGACTTTGTGAAAGTGATAGTGATTGCCTGCTTTACCTAGATGGTAATTCAGTCAGCTGTAGAATGGTTGGGATTACTGATAGCTACTCTTGTCCTCTTGCTGTCTTGAAATGCAAAATGGTTAGGATGAGTTTTTGATCAAATTTAATCAACGTGTGCTTTTTTATCTGTCTACATTTCTTTTTTTTTTTTTAAAACAAACTTTAAGCCAGGCATGGTGGCATACATTTAAAATTCCAGTACTTGTGAGTCAGAAGTGGGATGATCATGAATTTGGGGAGAGGCCAGCCTAGACTACATAGGGAAGAACCTGTCGTAAGTGGGGAAATAAAGGTTTAAGTTGGGAAAATTTATCATTTTTAATGTATAGTCATAGTCTTTGTTAAAACTTTTGTAAAAACTGGGATGCTGTTGAGATGGCAGATGGCTGTGATAAAATAGGAACATGTTACCTCTAAAAAGAAACCAGTGTAGATTAAGTCATAATTAAAAATACCTATGATTCACTAAAATATTTTTCTTGGATTAACTGTTAATGTTATGATAGTTCTCTTTTTATTCATCTTTTGACAAAACTAAAATATTTTTCTTGGATTAACTGTTAATGTTATGATAGTTCTCTTTTTATTCATCTTTTGACAAAACTAAAGAATAAAAAATAGACAAAGGTAATGACCAAGAGTTTCTTTGAAATTTCTTCAGAGATCTTCAGAATGTGAACTGCAAATAATCTTAAAAATAAGACAGCTACTTACATAAGCAAAACTGATTAAGGACTTTTTGCTTTCTCTTCAATAGAGGCTGGATATGTGGCTAAAGAGGAAGAGGGCTTAGAAAGTTTCAAAGCCTTGGAGTTCAAATTCCCAGTAGTCTTCCCCTCTCCCAAAGGATTATATTTAACAGAAATAACCATCCCTTACCACCAGTGTTTTCCTTATTTAACAGTCCATATGAACTTTGAACTTTGTACCAGGCTTCTTTCACTTTGCATGATGTTTTTGAGGTTCATGCATGTATCTTGTATCTGTGTTTCAATTTCTTCTTTTTAGTACTTTTTTTCCTATGTTGCTTTGACTTGCCTGGAACTTCTGGGCTCCAGAAATCCTCCTGCTTCAGCCTCCTGAGCAGCTATGACTGTAGCTGTTTCTGGTATGACTGAATAATTTCCACTGTGTATATATGCCATAATTTGTTTTATCTATTTATCTATTCATAGAAATCAAATTGTTTTCACCTTTTGGCTATTCCTGAAGAGTGTTACTATAAAATTTTGTCTGAGTGTTTGAGTTCTTTTGGATATCTACCTTGGAGGGAAATTGCTGAAGCATGCAATAATTCCTACATTTTCCCCCCAGTCCTGGGGCTTGAATTCTGGACCTAGGCGTTGTCCCTGAGCCTTTTTGTGCTCAAGATTAGTGCTCTACCACTTGAGCCACAGCACCACTTCTTTTTTTTTTTCTGAGTAGTTTATTGGAGATGAGTGTTGCATAGACTTTCCTGTCTGGGCTGGCTTGGAACTGGGATCCTCAAATCTCAGCCTCCTGAGTAGCTAAGATTACAGGTGT